CCCCCCCCCCCCCCCCCCTCCCCCAGCATTCCACGTCGGCGTCGACCTCAAGAGACCATAAAAATTTGCTAAAAACCTTTCACTTCTTCCTACTTTCAGGGGACAGGTCTATAGGAAAGGGGATTAAACAGTTCGCAACCGAAGGGCTGCGCCAAAGCACTCGGGGTGATTGGGGGAGGGAAGGTGGGGGGAGGGTGGGTGTCGGTCAGCCATAACTCCCCGCACGGTGCCACCTTCGCTGTTTCACTTACCATTATCGTGAAAGAGGGGGTTTTGGTGCTGGTAATTCTAAAATAACTTAAATTTTACACTACATTGTACACTACTCAAGTTGCTATGAATCACATCACGTAGCAATATGCCTGGCATGAACAGGGTCGTCGAAAAATTTATAAGACATTAACGGCGACGGCGACTACGTCAGGTTCTGTAGGCGTTCACAATTAAAAAGTAAAAAACGAGGTAATATACTTATCATTTCCGAGAAAAGGGCAAAACTGGCGGTAAGATAGCCGAAAGTTCAATATAATCAAGCGAATATTATTACTGATAATAAAATTTCTGCCCCCAAACCTCCTAACCATTCAATTCAGTCCAATCAGTTTTATTCGATACGATGATTCAAAGAGCAACATTCAGATCCATGGCACCCTGGGTAAAGAGGCCAAAAGCCTTCAAAAAAATTCTAAATTATTTTTATGTTGTTTCTGCATAGTATATTCGGAAATTTTGATTGTTCAATGTCACAGATGCCGCTCATCAAGCGTTGACTTCCTCATTCGTTGTGAATTCGCATTCTCTCGGGCTGAATTCCCTGCGGACAATATCGTGTTCGCAAATGCTCGTCGGAAGAACTTCTGATATCCTTGGAGCTTGACTGTTATTCGATATTTAATAAATTATGATATGTGGCTCATGATAAAATGTGATATGTGTGAGTACTCCTTCAGCAAATGCTCATTCATGACCTCAACCTTTCACGAAGAGAGCTGCCACCAATAGCGATTCCCTGCTGGTAAGCCATGATCATCCTCCCCCAGGTTGTTGACTGTACTTACCAAGCCATATGTACACCTCGTGGTACTGTAGAAGTCACTCCGGCTCCGAGTTCTACTGAATGACAGCACAAGAACAGTGACTCGACAGCTCCAAATGTACTCTAGTGGGCGATCCAGCTTATGACAAAAGTAGTAAACGCGGGTGGGTCATAAGAAGGAACTGAACGAAACAGGAAAGTCAGACTGCTAGTAGGAACTGTCGAGGGAAATGTTTCGAGTTAGATAACGTCCTTTGAATCAGGGCCTGAGACTCCCCTACTCCTCTCTCTTTATTACCTCCCTTTGTTTTCCATTACCTTTACCTGCACCTTGCAGCAAATTACCTCTCTTTCAGATGAATTTCCAGGGATTAAGGTATCAATACGGAAACAAAAGAACTACTAGTTAATTAGGCTCCCTATCGTTGAAGCTTAATCATTCTTCAATTCAACTAATGAAACTGACTTTTTTAACATCTACTATTTCAATGGCTACAAATCATCACACAATACGTTTCACCTTCAGAAGTCAGGGTAGGAGAGAAGAAGACAAAGAACACCTGCCCCCGCAGTCACCCTTTCAACAATGCGGTCCTTCTTGCTTCGACGTACTCTTCGGAGACTTGGACTCTACGTAATCAAAATAGACATACTGCCAGCGTCACTGAGCCCGATGTGGAAAGGTTGCTGGGAATTTGTCTACCACACAAGTGCAGAGGAGAATCCAAAATTCCGAGATTCGCTAGGATCAGAAAGGCCCCTGCTTAGGCCATGGATGGAGGCACTGGGTGAGCCAGACACTTCTTCCGACATTGTGATGACCGTTGGACCATGATTACCGATTGAATTCGCACGAAAGAAGACCAATAGGATTGCCAACGCTGTTCGCAAATGGTCTGACTCTCTTACGAAAGCACTAAACAGAAAGAGTGCCATATCTCGCGCTCCCCGGGCCAGGGCGATTCGTTGGACCACTCTGGCTCGCGAGAGGGATGAATGGAAACGTTACTAGCTCTCTCAACAAGTCGATAATCTACGGAGCGGAAAGTGATACAGGTGCTGTGATTTTTTCTGTAACAATTTATTAAACAACAGCTCAACAACTATAGAATCAACATAACGTCGAGTATTCATATGATAGACGAAACCGGAGAAGTATCCACGAAATTCTATTCTTGACAAACAATTTTTGTTTAAATACCCCATAAATATGAAGCCATTCGAAAGTATGTTTTCGAATGGTCCTGACGGAAAACAGTAGGGACAGTTCGACATCGGAATAGAAACAATTATAGTGTTTGGGAATACTTAAGCAAGACTATCAATATGCTGGTTGATATTGTGAATATTGGCATGTGACTGCTTCAGGTTGTTCACTAGAGTCTGGAGTCGTTTCTATAACAACTGATTACATTAGTCTAAGGACGACAGGAAAATAAAATAAATCACTCTGAACTAATGTGTTCTGGCGAACCTGTAACGTTTGCCATTGTTCACGTCCAAATTGTCGATGTTGAAAAGAGCTTACCACTAATGTTCTAGTCATTTCGTTCAACTTGCCCTAGAAATTGAAACCATTTTTCCGCACTAGGAAAACTCACGAACGTTTAACAGTCATAGTTTACTTACAGATATGGCATTTACTTGAATAGCATCAATTATAAACTCTTCCAAATGATCATCTGGTGGCAAATCTAGCTCCTCCGCAAGTTTATCGAGATGGATCACCTGAAGCACTCGAAATAACTAGAAACCTAGAAACGAAGCCTATAGCAGAAGATCTGTACACATACGTTGTTGTTTTCGGCAATGCTCATCAGAGTTAGAAGGCGGATCTTCTTAAGCAATACAGCCTCCTCAACCTGTAAGAAACTTTGACACTAGTTGCGGCCATTGGTACATCCTACTGCTTGATTCTTAGTTCTGAAGAAGCTGACCTTGAGTTTATCGCCAACAAATTCTGGATGAGCTTTCACAAAGGCGCGGTAGTCCTTCAGTGTCCCAGAGATGAACAATTCAAGAGCCGAATACATCAAGGGATCGGACTGAAATAATAGTGGTAAAGAGGTTCACACATTATTGAACGTATATTACACGTAAACTCCCTTGCCGACTGGCTGAAATTACCTTCTGCAAAGCCTTGACAGCACAGAGACGTTGAAGATGATCAAACGAAAACGATTTCGGATCAACAACAGCAGTTCGTACGCATTCGATAGCGTCTTCTCGAGCTTGGGCTGCATCTTTCTCAGTATAAGTACCCAATAGCATAATCATCACCTTAAAACAGTCATTTAAAAAATAGCACATAGTGCAGAAGGAAGTATTACCTTAGCTGCTTGGTCTGCTTTTTGATCTTCTAGCAGTCCAATATGGACAAGACGAAGGATGTCACGCTGTCCATCTACGGCTGTTCCCCATTGTTTGAACTGTTTTTGCAAATTCTCTGTCGAACAGTCTAGCTCGCCTATCATGCGAGCTTCAGAGCACATGGCGACAAGTGATCGGAACAGTACCTCCTACAACCGAGCACACTATACAACATTAAGAAGAGACGTTTAATTCTCTATTAATGAATCTATAAAAGTATAGGTTAGACATATGGTCGAGGCTCACAATGATGATAACAAAGGAGTGAGCGCATGCCCACACGATACCATGACTGTGGCGATTACTAGGGTGAGATGAAGCAGACCTCTGTGTAGAGAGCAATTGATGGGGACTAAGTCATTGAGCAGAAAATTTATCGAAGACTCCAGCAAAGGCTTACAGTATATCTCCATCTGAGCTAATTTCTACCATAACTGCTTAGTTTTGAAAAATCAATGCCTTACCTGAATCTTCGGATGAGCAGCAAATGCTCGGTACAAGTTTGATAATACGTGGACTGCGTGGCCAGCCTGCAATAAGGGATATGACCTATTTGTGGTAAATAACATGAAACCAGGTAAGTGATTACATTGCTATTCCATCCGAGTCCTTTGAAATGTGCAGGAGTGATGGCATTACAGAAAGCTTTGACCACAGTCAACGCTTTTTCGGCTGGTACCAAAACCATCAGAGAGCAGATAGAGTTGAGGATATAATCAACCTAAAAAAAGAAAAAAGCACTGATACAATCAGTACATCGAAGAGATATATTCAAAGAGTGTACTAAAGATACAGTCTACCTCTACAGGATGAGGACAAGCACCCATAACCGTGATCTGTGAACAAATATCGATCAAATTCTCAGATACATCAGGCGACCCTAAATGCAGATCAATTTCAAAGGAAAACATATTTGAATAATTCAACACCACTCCCACCTTTCGGATCTAATTTGGCCTTGCCAACATTATTGAGGTATTCACGAAGCTGATGGAGCTGTTCTCTATCATCCACAAACGCAAACACAGGAAGAATCTTATGATCCGCCATTGTCCTCCTTCAAACATTTGCCTTGATTCAGGTCATGAATAGGACTTCAAAAGGAAAGCACAAACAACTACCACAGCATACACAATAACACTTCTCAAAGGTAAAACATTTCTACTGGATGAGTGATAAATGGTAAATCTTCTGGCTTTTTTAGTAAACGAACACGATGGAATCAAATTACTGGATTATCCAAAACTCTCAACAGAGGTGAAAGACCGGGGTAAAGAAAACTGACTGGTAAGTAAGCAAAAACAACACTAGTGAGTTTGAAACACCCTTCTATGAACCGTGATGTTGACATGAAATGGAATATTGATGATGAGCAGTATTCTTTGCTCGGGGAACCACGATTGCAAGGTTTACGAAGCGTTCACAAATGATTTGCATTGCATCAGCAAGCACTATTTTTGATTCTCAGCCTCAACCTCAACGCATCGCAACCACTGGTGAAAGTGGCGGTTGAACGAAAATAATCGGTCAAACTGAGAAGAATGAGTTTAGGTGAATAGGTAACTCAAGTAGTTATGTTCTCATCAAAATTTTCGCCGCCAATCTCATACGTAGGAACAGGAAAAGGGTGCTGCAAGGCTAGAATACATGCTCATGGTCCCTAATCGAACCACCTAATTCTAGAATGCAAAAGACACATCCACAACATGAAAGAAGCCGGACCTGTTTTCGACTTATGGAGATCTTCCCAATGGATGTCACACTTCCTGACTGAAGTTGCTTCAATTGATTTTTCGCTCTTCGCAAACTGTACTCAATTAGGATAAAATCGGACGGCTCGTAACGTTTCGCAGCTTCACGAAATTCACTCTGCACTTGCTGACGAACGGAAGGATCAAGTGGGCGGGCAGCACGCAGAAAGTCGCGATACGTTTTAAGTACGAGAAGCTGCAGTTTTGAGTGAGCTCGACGCGCACTCATGAACTCGGCGCAACGGCCTAAATTGAAATAGAAAAGTCACATCGAGTGAAACCGCTAGATCTCTACATAGATCAAAACGAAAATGGCCCTATCCTACTAAACTGATGGCTGCTGGATCATCAATAGGGCAAAGGGTTTTAAACAAGGGAAAGGTACAAGATTAGAACAAAACTTTGAGCCGTCAAACAAGCAGCAACCGATTTCAGGAAGGGGAACGCCCTCCATATTGCAAGGATGTGTTTCCAAAAGTTAGCAGCACGCAATTTCTCCCTTCATCTTGCGCCCTTATCTCGGTGCCATCATTATAGAAAGAGACTGCATAGCTAGCTGTAAAATGGATTCACGTCAACTCGTAGTAAAAATAGGTGGGACTAGAGAAACAACAGATACACCCAGTAAGAGCGATTCCCCACAAAAGGAAAGAAAGAAAAATAATGGGAAAGAAACTTGTAAAGAATGTCGACAATGAAGCAGATATGATCAAAACATTAAATTATGCACAAAGATATAACGACTGCATATAAACAAACACTCCAAAACACCGACAAACAAAAGGAACAGAAATATTGGAACGATTATACGTCGTATCGACATTTTTGAACGCTTCATCGTAAAAATTTATTTTCAGCAGTAATGAGGCAACATAACAAGACCCGTAAGCATCAAGGAGCAATGTGTGAAAAATACAAAAATAAAGTTTGATCAATAAACCGAAGGGTTAGGAACATCAATGGGTCCCTAATTTGCACGTAGTGAATGCATATCCATCATACAGACATAAGTGCATAACCTCCACAAGCAAAGATTTTAAAACCTAACAAAACAAGCTGAGCTAACTCTAAAACAACCTACTCCCCAAATAGTCGACATATGGTATATCACAGAAAAAAATTGACCTCAAACCCACTGCACTAATTGGAATTTTCGTTTACCCCAGCAAATCAAAGTGAGATCTGGTGCTTCCGGGAGTACTATTCGCTCAAAAACAAGAGGAGCAGTGTTGTCAACGGCCTGAATCAGGAGTACAAATACAACAGCTAAAACCGCATGTGTTTAGAAAATACCTTTTCACCGTTGATTTTGAAAGCTCCTTTCGTCATTAATATTGATCCCTTGATATTATCAGATCTCGTGCGGTCGGCAAGATCACCCAGCGTTTCAACTTCACTGCGAGCAACTTTAACCGTGTTACCAAATAATAACATGAGCTCAGCTCTGTTCAATGAACGAACATCTTCCATGGATCCTAAAGCAGAAAGTCGTATAAGTGAACCTTTCCACAATCCCAACGGTATAGAAGTAGATCTTGGAGAAGTCCTCACAAGGTTTGCAACTGTTAAACGGATCCTTCTACCTTACGATAAATTATTAAAGACGAAAAAAATAATCAAATACCATCTGAGATTCCATAATTCATATTAATTTACCCTGAAAGAGTGCCCTGGAACAACATTGAGCGGTGCGCAACCCCTCGTCTCCATGTACAATCTGGGTAAGCTCGGTTGCTAGAGCGTCTTGCACTACCCACTTTCCCAAATTTGCACGATGCTCATCAATTTTCACCAGAACATCGTCCCAAGGAGCCAAGCTGAAACGAAAATGTTGGCAGATTCACGGGCTGGAGGAGCAATTACCAAGTATTGCAGAATAGTTACAGCCAAAACATAGAGAAGTGGATTAAATCTATTAAACGACTATTGGCATAAAGAAAATTCAATCACCTATACTGTCTATACATTCGTTCCGCTTCTGTGTCATGCAATTGACGAAGAAACTGATAAAAGTGAAACGGCGATGTCAGCTCTGCACTAAGCCAGACATTACCACCTCCGACAGATTTCCCTAGTTTATTTCCAGCGCCATCCGTTACCAATGGTAAGCAAACACCTAGATTGATGTTCAATAGGAGTAAAACTTCTGAACCTCAGGCACAAAACAATGCGTGTCGGAGAACAACAATGCTTTTCGAAAACGCTCCTATCCATTACTTACCTGCAGCGAACTTCCCACCGCACGTCCTCTTTATGTAATGAGCACCAATATCCAGATGACCCAACTGGTCAGAACCACCAATCTTAAGCAGGATGATTACTGGATTCTCTTGATGCATGTTTAGGAAAGAGGTTTACCAGAAAAAGATTTTTGCATCCTTGCTACTCTTGCTAAACACTCAACGGATTTCACAATGTTCGCTAACGTATACCCATGTTTTTTACCCCTTTTCTGCGATACGTACCGTCAGCCTCTAGCCCTGATTAAGTGAGCTTATCGAATTAAAAATTCCAGAAGTAACTCAATGGAATAATCTGGATACCACCCAAAATATTATATGAGAGGGGTATGGCTCAGTCGAATCGGTATCTTCTCCCCAAAAACGGCGTCGCGTTCGCCGCACCCGATCGCGCACTTTGGAGGGAAAAATTTGAATTCCCAGCGCAAGGGTAGGGTAGCCGCCGCATGACCTTTGCTGTTACTGTGGGAATTCGGGGAAAAGTTCCGGCCCGTATGACTCTATTTATGCTCGAAATGAGTGAAAGAACTCCGTCTAACAAAAGTTTACAGTAGTTTAAGAAAAGAGATAGAACCTGAAACCTGCAGTCATATTTCTTCAACATCACTGCCCAGTCATACGCCTGCATTGTCTGGTAGCTGAATTCCGTGAACGAAATCCCGCTGTCCTCTAACCGAGCTTTTACAGCTCTCATTCGAAGCATTTCTCCGACCCGCAGTTGCTTACAACTTCTCAAATAGTCCACCATCGGCATCTAAACAATAATAACAAGATGTTACCACAACAGTGAATCTATTATGAGGAAGGACAATGAAAAAGTAAAACACACATTTCCAAACCACTCATTGTTGTCAACTACTGTTATTTCTTCCTTCAACACATTACTCGAGATATTTTTCAACTGATCTATAATCGACTTTGAATTTTCCATCAACTGCTCCTTTTCTTGCGTTTCGCGCTCTGAAATTTGATAGTTTTAGGTAAATGTTGGATTAATAGAAACAATGGTGGCAATATGGCTCACCAACCATCCGTCCTTCCGCTCGGATCACCAATTGCAGCGGTAGCACCTCCAACGATAGCAATAGGCCGAACACCAAATTGCGCACTTCTCAATAGGTTGACAACAATTAGAAGATTGCCAATATGAAGACTCCTAGCAGTCGGATCAAAGCCTGCGTAGACAACAGGAGGTAATGCTCTAAAATGAGAAAAGTACTGCAAATGTCACAGCAGTTTTTCTACTGCTAAACACAAGCTACCAAACCCTTATTGGCTTTGCGACTAGACGCAATTTCTTTCAATTAATAATAACAATACCCGAACTACCATTGTATTACCTGCTAAAGGGCCATTACCTCTTCCAGTTACAATCATTATTACTATTACTACTATTACATATCTATAATTATTATTCATAATTAATATTACTTATGAATTGTAACAGCAAAATAATTGCACCATTCTAACTGTTGAATGCCCATGATCAGCTACGGTTCACAACTACGTTACTGGCTATACAGCGTATATATGGGTTTTCGAAGAAAAGAAAGCACTGCACTCAGTGTGTTTGATCCCATTGAAATTACAGAATCTCCACAAGTTCTTTGCTTAATGGCGACTGCCTCCTAGTCAACTCCTATAAACCTACCAGGAGATAGGATAGATGTTAGGACGAGCTTTTAAGGGGATTCGGATACGTGTGAACTCTCGTCTTCTCTATCGCCAAATAAACAAACATGCGACGAGATTGATACCACTTTGTCATATACGACACGATCACTTACTTCAATTCAGCAATGAAATCCGATTCGAGATTTGAAGGATAGCACAACCGCACAAGCCCTCGAGTTTTGAGCTCCATGAAATAGTCCGCAATCGCTGACGATCGCAAACTGAAAACAATCATTCATTTATCCTTATGGAAAAACAAAGATGTCGAAAGATTTTTAGCTTAGCGGCGCAATGTTCGTTGAGCAGAAGGGAGTATGGCTGCTTTCATAGCCTACGATTTGGCAAGCGACCGGTCACGGACCTATCGAGCGGCGACCGAGCGACCAGTCGCGCGACAGGTCCGCGATCGGTCGCCAAATCGTAGACTATGAAAGCATTCGATTGGTTTTGGGGCCAGTCTCCATTGAAAGTCGAACTCGAACGCTTATCTCACGTCAGGCGCATGTCGTCGTTGGCCTTCTCAGTACATGTCCATGTCCGACACATACTCAAATGGCCACAGGATTATCAGGCAATGGAATTCTAGGCTAAAGGAAAGCGACCACAACGAATCTAAAGGGCATCGCCGAGGCCAGAGTAGCGGCAGGAGATGACGTAGATAGAAGGAAGCGTAGGAGACAGAAAAGGATAGCGAGACAACCACGATCAGTCCCATAACTTCTAAAATAATTATCTGATTAGACCCTGATCAAACCCTCACCTTGAAGAAGAAGTTGACAAATGCTTATCCAAATTATGAAATTGATAGAGATTACTTCGCAGAGCCTTCAGAAAACGACAAAGCCGCGACGACATCAGCATCCCTAAACACCACATACTAGATTTGTTCCAACTATTATGATAAAGTCCTGAGTATCCTTCTTATATATAAAGCAGTAACTTGGTTTGTCGGTTTGTCTGTATGTCGGTATGTCGGTATGTCGGTTTGTCGGTCTGTCCGTCCGGGTTAATTTGTGATTATGATAAAGGTAGTGATATGGAAAACTTATTCTCCTTATATAAAAANCAGTCACTTTGTGGGTAGGCTAATGGAGTAAAGTGAGCACTGCGGAGTGAAGTGAGTAATATGAAGTGAGGTGGATGATTCAAATTGTGATCTCTACTGTACTGTAATGGCAGTACTTCGACACTGGTGAAAAAATAAAGCTTGAGGGTCCTAATGAAAGCAAAAAAATGAGTGATGTACAGCCGATGACCCAAAGTCAAAAGACCGCATCGCAAGCGCAGCGCAGTAAAGAGAGTCTCATTTTCAACGTATTGAGGAGGAGAGTCCGGAAAGGATCATCGGTCCTTTAAACTACATTGGAGCGCACTGCTAACGATTTCGAAGATCCGGTATTAGATGAATTTCAGCGCTAATTTCCAAATTTGCTGTGTCACTTGAAAAATTCTAGCTAATTCCATAGAGGTATTTAGGATGGATCACGTTATTCTAATTATCTGTATTTAGTTCTGAATTTTCAAGTCCCATAGCTAAGTTTTGGTGGTTATCTTTAGTACAAAGGCTCTTTGGCTTAACTCTCTTTCAATTGTCTTCCCCCATGCTTCCCTTGAGCCCTGAATCAATTAAATCCGAAGAATTTGAAAGTTAACAGTGCTTTGATAGCTAATTATGTCTCTACTCTAATAATTTCTTATTGATCTTATAAGTTGGCTTCGTAATCGTGTTTCGCTTTGCTCAAGTTCTAAATTAATGGTTTCAATTCAGGTACTGGGGGAAAATGACTCAAGATGCTACAATTTCAGATGAGACTGAGCCTTCGAAGTCAGATGTAAGTCGTCTCACCATTATTATATGTAGCTTTTAAGATAGCATTCGGAAAAGTGTCTATCACGCGCAAAATTCTTAGAAAATTTTGCCCCTACAGTGTTCCGACCTTCGTTCCAGCAATTTAGAATTCTAGTTAATCGTATGACTACAGACTTTTGTCAAAGCCATGCGCAGCAAAGGAAAGCGTATTCGCGAGCTGTTGAGCTTTATAATAAATTTGTTTGACACAATATGGCGAATGCTTGCTCTAGGGTCTTATTGCAGAGCGATTTTTCCAGCCCCGTCTAATTTTATCAAGATTGTTCCGCCTCTAAACATGCTCAAAGGATATATGAGTGTCGGAGGAACCCTTCCCTGACACTTTCTTTTCCTCATAGAAATATTTCTTTATTTCTAAGTAGTGAGCATTCAGGTGGATGATGAAGTTGCTGAAGTATTAAATGACCTGATTGATCACGTTTCGTTATGGGGTGATCCTTCAACAATGGACGTGAGTTTTCTCCAATGATTTCTTTCGTATAACACTTCACTGATTCGTTGTTGACAAAAGTAGGATGTGTAAAGGCTAATTGTTCAGGTCGAATTCTTCTCACTAGACTATAGAAAAGCACCTTCGATGGCCTCGGCTTCATCAGCTAGTGGAAGCGAATTTGGCGATCTAAGTGATAGCGAACTGCCATTTGTAGAAAGCGATGAAGATTCAGAGAAGGAATTCGAAAAGTGTGTTCTCCAATTATTCGCTTCACTTTTCATCGAATATGGCTTATTTATTTTTTTTCTTCGGCGGAACACCTACAATCAATGACATTTCACACGGATAACGCATTCGTGATGATTTTGATTTCGTTCGAAGATTTTTAAATTGCATTGCAAGTGTGAAAGAAGGTACAAATAAGCGGCCACTCTTCAAGAAGTGTTCTTTTGTTAGTTCTAAAATAGAAACGTCATTGCCGCAGAGTAGCCGCCATATAAAACAGTGACGAAGCTAGCAGCTGAATATTTGGAGCATTATAACTAAACTAGTTACATTATGGTATACATAGGTGGCTGTGATGACACGTTTTTCTTTTTTTTTATGCGGTTAATGATAGAAACATTTTCAGATTGCAGCTCTTATCCTGCGAAATGCGTCAGAAAACGTTTCTACGCGAACACCCTGATGGTGTGCCTCAGCAGAAGAGGATCAAAGAAGAGATAAGAATAAACAAAAAGGATTTAGAGCACGAGTGGGTTCTTCGAAAACATCTTAGGGGTGTTGTCGTCTTAGGAATATTCAGTGATATGACTTTTCCATATACAGTTATTTCTCTGAGAAGCGCTTTATAGCTACGACAATCTACCCGCATTGGAAAATCTCACTATACATTGTGCAGAATCTATACCACTAGAACCAGTAGGACATGTAACAGCAGTCGTTGATTGCTTAGGTATGTTGCTAGCTGTTTGGTTGTCTCATCCATCATTTCGCATGGGCTACACCTTTGGATTTTGATAAGCTTCATGGCCGAAATCACTAGTCAATTAGCCAGGTAATTTTAGTTGTCATCAAGTCCGACAGTGGCGTTGCGTTGGATTTTGATTCCGTGTTGTTCGATAAGGTGAGCTGTTGGTACGTCTTAAATTCGACCAAGATTCAAGTCCATTTTTATTTTCCAGGATAGAAATTCGATAGGAGTAGTTTACGATCTGTTCGGTCCTGTAAGGAGTCCGTTCTACTCTGTCAGATTTAACACCAAAGAGGAGGTATATTTATTTTTTGAGAAGTTTTACATGCCATTATCCACGAAAATTTAAGGCTGCTGCAAAAATGTGTGTAGGAATGCAAGTATACTATGCCCCCACAGCAGAGCAGTATACTCGAACTGTAATAGATAATCCTGAAGCAGGGTAATCGTTCTTATCCAGTACTTTTAGGTTTTATGATTTTGAACCTTTCATAATGCCCGAGATGTATCTGAAGATGAATTCTTTATTCCAGTAAAATACTTTCTGATGATGTTTCGTCAGAGGACGAGCCTGTATTCAGTGACGATGAAAAGGAAAAAGAGTATCTGAAGCAAAAAGCGGCTGCAACAAATCGTCCAGGTTTGTCCTTCCTTGCGATCTGTAGGTTTATGTCTTCATATGCGTGTATACTTTTTTCTTCAAGAAAATCCGTCCCAGAGGCGAGCTCAAAAACGACGTGTTCAATTTTCTGAATCTACAGCTGAGCGAGGAAGAGGTCTGTTGTTATTTGAACCAAATATTTCGGTCCCTATTATATTTGAGTAATGGACTCCTAGGAAGCGATAGAGGACATCGTGGGCGAGGTTCTGGAGGCTCATGGAATTGGCATAGCGAAAAACGAGGCTGTTTAGGGTACGTCGTAACTCTAGATGTTGTGTAACTTTAAGAAATTTAGTTGAAGCCATTTGAAAAATTTTCGACCGTTCCTCGTTTAGCGGCAGAGGCCGAGGCCCTCTTCGAGGACTAGGGCGTGGGAAAAGCAGGATGACCAGCCAAACTTCGGAAGCAAACTCGGGTAACCCTTATGCAGAATACGGATGCTACGGCCCGTTAGAATTTGTTGACACTAGGCAACTTTGATGGTCAACATGATTGCATACTTGTCTTTCTGTTCCGGAGTTTGAACGGTATACCCACGTTACTCTTTAAAAAACCTTTCTATATGCAGTTCAACTTTCAAAATTACATTAATTAGGCTTGGTAAGAAAGTCATCAAGTATGGCAACAGTGCAAATGTATCGCCACAATTCAAAATTGTGATCAGAGTTGTTGTAAACAACATTCGAGTAGCTCCATGTGTTTACTTATAGTCCTTACTTGTTACTGTTTTGTATTTTAGAAATTCTTACTTTGAATATATACATAAGCTGTTGTTTTTGTTGTGTTGTGTACAGTTGTTTTGTGTTACTCATATATGGTGTTTCCTACTCAACAACAGGTGTTTTTTCGATGAACCAGTTTATAGTGCACGAATTTTTTTTGTTATAGTGAGAGTATATTCTCTTTGAAAACAGCTGTCGAAGCGAAACGATACGTTTTGTGTGCTAGCTTGGCTCCTGAAAAAAAAAGAAATGAAATTTTAGTGGTTTCAGTGAAAAGATTGTAAAAAGACTGTTATGCGTTAGTTCAGGGTGTTGGTGTAGGCGCCTTGAACTATCTCCTTGCAAAAGGCAGATAACTTTAAAAACAAATGCACGCGTGAATGACAAATGTCCTAAGAGTAGTCGCGTCGCGTCCGCTCATGTGAGTGTCACGTTTTCCATGCAATCGGTTTTTGGCAGAGTTTGTGAAACAATGAAGGTTTCTGGTGTTCCAAAAGTCTAAACGCTAACTCACGAGTAAGAGGTTTTTTGGACAAGGCAGATTCTGAAATCGACAGTGCAGTGTTTACTTCTTCACGATCCCTCTCCCATTCATAGCGATCAAGAAAAGACGTATGTACACGTTTCAAGCCAGCCATGCACTGAAGTGAAAGTACGGTAAATAAATGTACGGTAATCTTTGAAAGGTGTTTGACTAGGTTCACCGTCATATATGTATTTCGGAACAACCTCAGTATATTCCTGATATCAGTTGACTCTTAATTTTCGTGCAATTCTTCGTGGTGGCCAAGGGCATGGCGTATCCCAAAAACTGGGTAAACCCCATACATTCTACTCATTCCAATTGTTTTGTGGGTATTGCAGCAGAAATCACTCTCTAGTCAAATAACCCTCAAAAACTTTCTAGTTTTCAGCTGGTACATCAGATGTATACGCTCACTCGGATCAACCATACAAGGTCCATTACTATCGAATCCGCCAAATTCTTTTTCGAGGTCTTCTTTTACTACAAACCTCACTAAAAAGTCCATGATAATCTGGCCGATCTTCGTATTTCAACGTTTCTAAATATTCGCGGATTTTATAAAATTCTTCTGGGCAGCTCTGAAATAAGTACAGATGACGCTCTACTAAATTTCATGTTAATTTTGATGGCATTGTTTCCTCACTCTTATTAATTGTTGTGGTGTGGTTTTTTCTTTCATTTCAAGGATTTTTTTCTCGTCTGATATGCGATTCCATGGTAGCCCAATTTGAAGCTCAATAAGCATATGTAGCCATGCCCATAAGTCGTCAACACGACCCTGTCAAAGTTTTTTTTTTGAAAAATTTCTGCTACATAGTATGGAACAGTGTCACACCTGTTCTTTTCTGTAGTGTGTATTGAGGCTACAGTATCGTGGAGTTCCTCGGAAAAGCTGACTACCTTCTCGTGGCTTTCGTATAGCAAGTTTACCAGATCCATCTTTAGCGACAAAGGAACGTGCCATACCTGTAAGTTCTAGGGTTTGTTCGTCACTGTACCCGAAAGTGAGCAAAATTTCGTTACGGTCAGCATTACTGCAACCCAAATTTACGGGAGACGGACAGTAGGGACGGTCTTGTGTAGTCGGTCCGCCGCACGCGGCTGTCGCGGACCATTTGCCTCGCTATAACAAATCTTGCGTTCTTCATACAGCTCAATCGCTATACGATTATTACTATTGGCATGGTTCTACTAATGGTTCTTTTGTTCCTGAATTACTTACTTGCCACTGCTGCTCCATTCGCGCGCGATGTCACTCTGGCCGCGACGCGACACTTTCGTTCCTACTGCACCACACCCAAGATTTACACCTTTCATTCATATCCCTGAATAGGGCACTGGCACAGTGATGACCTCCCACGGGATCAGAGAGAGATCTGATATATTTTGAGTTGGTGTTTATGCTGTTAAGTTTTACTTTATTCCGCCGCAGTACGCGTTCCGAAGTCTCACAAGGTTGGCGATTCATGGTCAAAACTCTGATATCTGAAGTGACTGAAGTTTTGCCCATAAATCGCCAAACTTGTGAGATTTTATATAGTTGTTTGCTAATTTTCCCTTGGAAGAAACCCAATTTAACTATGGAAAGTGAGTGGATGAAAGGTGAGCTCGCAGTGGCGACTGCGATTCCGCCCATCTTTGGAAGCTGCAGCTTCTACGGCAAACTGCAGATCTTTGATTAGAGGCAATTCGAAGGAAATAACTTCCAGTTTTCGTGGACGACGAGGGAAATTTTGTTGTTCCAGAAAAAGTAATGTCCTAACCGAAATCCACCAGATAAATCATTCTCGTATCCCGTCCATATTTCCCTATCATGCAGTTCCCTGGCTTGACATCACGATGAACATATCCGATTTCGTGTACCTGAAATGAATCAAAATTCATTTCAGTGACGAGGTGGGAGTATGGTTGTCTTTAAAGACTTTTCCTCAGCCACATTTTCACCAGCTACAAAAGCTGATGAAAGATTGGTGGTCAGAGGACACCATCCAGGTACAGAAATCCCTGGAAATATTTCGGTGAATTGTAAGTGATGGTCATCACCCACTTGAAAAACTGGTGTTGGAGAATTGGGATACTATTGCCGGCTGGCAAGGGGAAGATGAATTCCGGCTAGTTGGCGCCGCCACTACGACCGCGGTCCGGGGAGCAGCTTTGCTCGATATCCGCTTAGAATGCCGAGGGATTCTTTCTTTTCAGGGTAGGTTATAGACTGAGAACATGAAAGCGAGTTCTTAAACATTGGCTGATCTCCGCAGGCCGTTGGGGTTTGTCTGTGTACGTTTACTAAGCTCTCTTAAAAGGTCTTACCTGCTTGATAGCATAAAGTGTGCTTATGGCTAATCGTAACGTGGTGCCTTCTGAGAAGGGTTTGCCAGCTTCATGCTTTAAAGTCATCAGATCTTTTCCGCACAAACTCATTACCATGAAGCTAAAATGAAACTCATTGAGGAGAAAAGTGTCATCCAGTCAAAAGATTTTGAGTCATGGAATTTTACTGCTCGGTAGGTGTTCTTTGTTGTGTCGTCCTTTTTCGCCTAATCTTCTTTGCATACTTTCAACCCTTCTGCAGTAGCAGCTGTTTCTCATGTGCCCTACCAGCAGGCGAATCAACTTTTTCTTTACGCACTGACACGACACCGACATACCCACGGCTATGATGTTAGATTCTAGGGGACAGCAGCTAAGAGACAGTGTCGCGAATGCGACCTCTTTTTTGTTCATTTCTTGTTTACTTCTCGTTTCTAGTTCTGTTGTTTAGTTTTGATGGGGCCTATTCGATAATAGACGTGATCTACGCAATGATCTGACGGGCTCGAGGCAGCTATACCAGGGCAACTCTTAGTACAACGGATCGATATCGTCACAATTGTCTCAGGCAGCGGCTGGGTTCAGGCCCCGATCTCATCACTTATTTGGTCCAAGTAAATATTCAGGTTATCCTGTACCTTTATTATTTCAAGTGAATCCTTGGCTTATATTCTACTCCTAGAGAGTTCAAGTCCAGTTGCCTCAAGTCGGAATTCGTTCAGCGTCAAGTGATCAAGTACCCGCGTGGCTGGACATATCCAAAAGGCGGGCTTAATCTCTACGAATTTCGAGATACAGAGTTCTCAGAATGATGACCAGTTCTACGCTCTCCAACAATGTAATTCTTTGTAGGGTCCATGACCCTTTCGACCGTGTCTTGAAAAAGGATCAGAGAGTGTATGATAAATGGATAAAAGTCTTGGGGCGTTATTCGACCCCGTCTGAGGGATGCGCCCACGCATTCGACTTCCACTCAGTATCGTAGTGGAGTATTGAATGCGTATGTGGCCTACACAATGACATGCTTTGCCCAGCCGATGTGCAAGTCAGTGCCCAGATAAGTTTGATACCGAATAACCGACCCCGGAGGGATGAAAGGCTTGGTTGACCTAGCGGATATCGATCCTGGAGTCGAACCCGTGACCATGTGTGTGTGTGAAGGGCGCCACTTGCCACTGCACCACCTCCGCCCGAGTGCATGATACCTACATAATTGTCTTCACTCCAACTATGATGAAAACATGCTTATCAGAGCCTATCATTCCGATGTCTGAGTTATCGTTGATCGACTGTGCGCATTTGTTTCACTTACAACAACTCTTTCCAGCTTGTCATCGCTCTGGTCATCGAGGAGTACAGTTACTTAAGATATCGGGAACTGGCCAAACTGCTTCGGCTTGAACACAATTGCATTGAATTGGAAGATACTGTCTTGGGCGACGGGCAGTAGGAACGGTTTTGTGNTTATAACAGTTCTAGCGTTCTTCATACAGCTCAATCGCTAGGCGATTATTACTTATGGCATGATTTTACTGCTAAATCTTTTGTTTCTGAATTTTTTACTTGCTGCGGCACGCTGCTACAATCCTTCGCACGCGGCGTTCCTCACTCCGCGACGCGACAATTTCGTTCCTACTGTACCACACCTATACTGTCTGCACCCGAACCATCTTGAGAGGGGATTGCCCCTTGATATTTCTCAGAGTTATTAACAGCTAAAGATGACATATAGACAACTATCCTATTTCGTTTATTCTTCAAACATTTAGGAAAATCTGACTTACTTATATTTATTCCGTTTCCCTGAATCATATAACCTGACGGTGTCTTTCATTTTCTGTAGTTGCGTAAGTATAAACACTTCCAGTTTCAGAACGCCTCCTTCATAGAGATCATCCTCAACCTGAACTTGGAAGCTTTGAACTGAAATCGACCGTTTCTCAGTGGGGCACTTTGAAATGAGGACTGATTCAGAAGTGTAAACAGAACCCATTTCTCTTGCACAAGTGCCCAGGAAACGGTCGATATGTTAGAACTAGGACGAACCTTCAAAGCTGCTTGAAAATTTTTGCGATTTTTATCCTCCACTCTGTAGACGGCTCCCATACCACCTTCCCCGAGCTTGTCCAAAATTCTCCATCTACCCGCGATAATCTGCAACGATTGTAGATGTATTGTTCTTCAAGTACTTGAGAAGGGCTGAAAATGCTGTCATGCATGAGCAGTGATGACTTATGTTCCATCAGTGCCACATGAACGAAGCCCCTGGCCAGCACTCGACTCGGGCTATACCTTCCGCCACTCAAACACTTCGCACCCGGCAGCGACGGACTACCGTCCCCTGACCTATTGACGCACCATTTCCAAGGGAGCTTGCCTTCATTTGTCACAAAGGTGACCTAATTGATGTGACTATCAATGAATGGCAACACAGGATCATGGCTTTACAAACAGCTGGAAGCAGCCAACAATGGCAAGGCAGCGGACTACTCTCGCCAGAATAAGCTGCCGATCTTCTCCATGGAACCGCTCAAAAGAGGAGCTGTGAAGCAGGATCATGGGAGCGGCGTATATGCTGTAAAAGTGTCATACTGATGGTCTAAAAGGAGCCGTACCTTCCCAGCACGTAAGTTCTTGTAATCTTCTGGAGATTTGTTCATTGAGCGCTGCTAGCGTGAATGGTTGGCTAGTATGAAATGAACCATACTGGGCTTGAGCTGAGTACGTTGGAGATATCAATTCTTATCATGGGAGTGATTGAAGCAGAGCTCTTTTTCGATAAGGAACTGTGAAAGCTCACATAGTAAACTGCACCCTAGTGCCCATTCGCCTCATTTCTCAAGTAACCGGTACCTGGGTCAAGAGAAACCCAGGGGTGATAGGATTCTCATGAAACCTAACACACCCCTGATAGAGGCTCATTTGAAAGGCGTATCCCAAGAAAGACTTATTCGACAACGTCGAACATTTCTCCGTGGGTCCTTCTGAATTCGTTTTCAGTTCCTGTCTGTCACATTTGCTATCAGTGCCGATCCTATCTTTACGACACCAAAAGTGTGGGAGCCGGGAAAGAACGAGTGAGCCATTACGATCTCCAATCTGCAGAAAATGCTGCTCTCCTTCGTCCTTTGTTTTCTACTTTCTTCACTTACTTCTGCAGATCAGTGCCCATCTGGTGGCGTATTCAACGCCCAGTTCGACAAGTATGTTCAAAAGCAGCTAATACAACCGCACTGAAGCTCACGTGTGAGTAGGAAAAGAATAATTTCAGGTGTTATGTTTTCTCAACAACTCCGGCTCCATACGCATTGGCTGAGCAGGACTGTATCAACCAGGGGGGTCACTTGGTCTCAATAGTGAACGCCTTTGAGAATGATATCGTTTCAGGTACGTCAATCAATGAAAACTCCTTAAGAAAAGCTGCTGGGTTTTTCATTAAAAGCTAAAACACAATTTAATTTTTTTATATTTTTTTATGTATTTACGAATTCTCTCGGCCTAGGTCCTTCTGTTACATTTAATAAAATTCAAGGATGGTACTGATTATTTTTCCCAACAGCTTTATTGGTACTGCCTCGTCTTCTTTTTCAGATAACACAAAATCGGCTTTGGTTTCAACAAATTCTACCGATTTTTGGATAGGAGCCAACGACTTGGTCACCGCAGGAAAATGGGCCTGGACTGATGGCACGAATTTTCTATACACAAATTGGGCGCCAGGTAATTTTTCGAGCATTTCAGTTGGTGGAATAGACTGGTAAGTGTAAAATCTTCGAGCTGAAACTGAAATATTGCCATGGATATGTTCAAGAATCCAAGTAGGAAGGAGCTGGGAATAAAACGATGTTTCTCACCACAACCAAATAACCATATCCTGAGAGCATCTTTTGAGTAAAAGCTTTGCGAATGATCATTGCATTTAATGAAGTCATTTTAAGGGCAACCACAGACTGGAAAGGATTGTGCATCGTCTCGTTTGAGCGATGGACGATGGATGGCAAACGACTGTCAACTTGCGAAGGCGTACACTTGTTCGGTGCCACCACAGCTGCCGTTCACCTGCCCACCACCACCGACTTGTCCACGTAAGTAGCCATTATTAAACGTTCGTGTAATAACCTTCTCAAGGTAAAGTTCTTCGGTTTGTTCAATGAAAGACCGAATTTCAAAGTCTTTTTAGCTGTAACAACCGCTGCTCCAGTTGTTTGCACACCCCGTCAATGTACACCACATTGTGACTCTGAATGGACCTACTTTTCACAAACGAACTCTTGCTTCAAGGTGAGAACGCCAATATCCCTTTGGATAATTTGCTCCGTTGGCTCTGCTGATGCCTAATCTGGCCAGTGAATTAACCGCTGACTTTCAGCTATTCTTCGGCCAAAAATGGGACGACGCAGAAGCGTTCTGTGTGGAACAAGGCGGCCATCTCGCATCAGTCCATTCGGAACAAGAAAATACCTTCGTTGCCAGTAAGTCAAGAGCATCTGGAGAAAGCGTAGCCTTCCATAACTCGCTTACGATTGTATCGGCAGTAGCTCACCATTGGCCTATTCATCCTTATTCATATGGAGCATTGTAAGAAGCACGCTAGAGGAGGATCCAGCCGAATCTTATCCATATATGTGTTCAAAACGGCAATAGGGATTGGAGACCTGAATAACAGCATAGTATTCATACGTACGACCGACTCTGACCCTTAATCTCTAATCTTAAGAAGATAAAATTTAGGATTCTTATGTCTGGGTACAACCAAATGTCAACCGAGAAAGGTGCGATTTCACAATCTTACGGAAGTCCCACCGGACTAGTCATTGCTATACAAACTTCCAAAAAAATCGACTGAACTGAATCTTGATCAGATCATTGGCAGCGTTTATACAATACTACATATGTTCACTTTAGCTACACAAGATATTTTTAGATCTTGCTAGGACCAACAAAAAACTCACAGATCCTGATGAGTTGACTTGGATCGGACTTCACGCCGTCGGTAGGTTATGGAACTTTCTAATTTATAAAAAAAACCTGTTGCCATAGAAGCAAGCTAGAAGTTGCATGTACAGGAAATGAGTGGAAGTGGACCGACAATACCAAAACAGATTATATCAATTGGGCCCCAAAGCAGCCTGATAATCCAGGAAAGGAGAACTGTGTAGAGGTGATTTCTTAGAATTTCTTATTTCACATGGCTTGTTGAAAGCAGGGTTACCTATCTGCACCTACCTATCAACACCTGGTTAAAAAGCGCCAGAAGAACGAAATTTTTGTATGGCGCACCACTAATTGAAATGAAGACGCCAAGTTTTAGAATTTTTGAGATAGGTTTCCGTCTGGAAGGAATCTCACACCGAAAAAACGAAATTAGTACCATTCCATAACAAGGGATCAAATGCTACTTGCCCAGCACTAACACCGCCCTTGCGATTGTGGTCTGATTGTAAGTATATGTCAGTCTTTGAAAATACTGTTCCTCAGGGTTCCTTTTGTCGTAGGAGTCCAATATTCTGGAGAGGCGCTTTCCACGGCTTAAATGTCTCCTGAGGTTCGAAATAATGTTCGATTGAAGCCAATTTTTGATAATTCAAGTAATACAAAGAAGCTTTCCTACCGACTCAGTAACGTAAACGTAGTAACGTTTTAGGAAATGGGCCTTATAATTTCAGAGTACTAGTACAGAATTGCTTCAAAATATGGGAATTTTGATCAGTAAATTCTCTCACTGATAAAATCTTGTTTTAAGCGTTAGCTTCTGTTCTTCCACTCGAAGAGAAACACTGCTGTTTTAGCTGGCACAGGACCCATCCGATCACGGTTGGTACGAGAACTGGAATAACGAAAATTGCAATACCGTAATGCGTGCCTTCGTGTGCAAGAAAAATTCAATTGTTTAGACCGCTGTTGATTTTTTTCCAAATTATGCCGTCATAAATGTATGACATCCTTTTGAAGAAGCTATGGAATATGCGATTTATTGGAATGCAGTTTTACAAAAATGTTAGCCGAAAAAAAGTGAGTGCAAACACATCGATTAAGAGCTCTAGAACGGTGCCAACCAACAAGTGGCCTACTACATACATGTGGCTCGGAAAACAAATCATAATCTGAAATTCGCTCAGGCCAACCAGCCCTTCCATACATCAGCTGTTCATAAATCGGTATCGGTCACTGAGAGAATTAAATGACCGACTGGTGTATGGACTTATGAGCTCGCACTCCACTTATTTCAGAAGCAACATTCCCATTCAAAAGCATCACACCGACTTTGAGTGGGAATCTGGAGACTGTATAGAGGCATTCTATGGGGAACTTGGCTCGATGGGCCCAATCTACTAGTCATGAGGAAAACAACAAAACTACATAGGTCGTTTCTTTATGACGGCGACATGAGGTACCGTTCACCTCCCGCACAGTACCCCCACATTCGGTAGCCCGAAAGGATGGAAGGAATGCGAATACACGTGCTTAAGTTTTTGAATCAAACCACAACACGTGAGTAAATAAATGAATAAATAAATAAATAAATGCAATAAATACATAAATAATAAAAAGCGATAGAAAACTTAGAAAAGAATCTTTATTCTTATTAGTCAACGAGCACTGGATCTGAAAACGATCTTCGATGAGGAGACCATTATCGGCTTAGTTTTATATCCAAAGATCCCTTTTACTTCTTTTCTTATGTGCTTGTTGATGCACAAGTAAACAACACCATGGATTCCTGAAAATAAAAATCGTAATTTTACTCATGGGAGCAGAAGGCAAGATTCTCTATCAGGGGCTTTGCTCATAGTGACACGTCGGGCGGAGACCCATTATGACAAGTGACATCTGTTCAAAAAATTTTCTTCAGAAAAACAATTTTATTTGAAGTAAAAACGCTCAAGACAGCTCTGTTGAAGGGGGGGGGGGGGGGGGG